ATCACTTGGATTAGTAATAGGAAACGACCCAGTTTCAGCTGGTCTCTGAATTGTCACTGTGCCTGTCTTTGTTAATATCAGGCTCTGGGAAAGTATTTGATCAAGAGGAAGGTACCATGGGTGAGGTTTGCCCCCCCCCCAAAAAAAAAAAGAAGCTCAGAGATAAATGCATAATTATTTCCAACTCCAAATGGTAAAAATCAGCCCAGGCTGGGCCTTGCAATAGCCACCAAGTTGCCTAAATTGTTGCAGTTTTCATTCCTCTCCTCTCCACCACCAAGGCCTTTTTTTTTTTTTTTTAAGAGGTTTTTGTTAGAGCGCACGTGCACTCACCGAAGAGACAAAGAGAGACAGAGAGACAGCAAGTTAAAAATCACCCAGCGGGGATGACTATGCCACAATCCCTTCTCCTCGTTCTCCTCTTGGATTGTGGGCACGCATGCATGCCCACGAACCACGGTTGGCCCGGTGGGAGTCCAGCCCCTTAACCACCACCCCACCAGCTGGCTCCTATCACAGCCTTTTTTTTTTTTTTTTGGGAACTAATTTCTACACTTTGAGAGCTAATTTCTACAGTCTAGTGTTTCTCTTTGCTGTTTGTAATCTTGCTGGGAGTCTCCTCATTTGCAGAAGCCATTTCTCTGGTCTGATGACCCTGACCTAGACATGAAGATCTTCCTCCCACTGTCTGGGGTTCTTGAGACCTGACACTTGATTCGAGCTAAGGAGAAACAAGACGTGGAAGTCTCCGTCTTCGTTCATGTGGGTTGCTATAACAAAATTCCATAACCCATCCTCATGACCTAGTCACTTCCCAAAGGCCGCCTAACACCATCACCTTGGGGGGGGGGGGCAGGACTATTTTTTTCATGATAGAGTATGTGTGCACGCGTGCTTCTAGAGACAGGGAGTGAGGGAGAGAAACACTCTCCCTAGAGCTAAGTCACACCACGATCTTCTTCCTCCTGTCCTCCAACCTGCCAGGACCCTAAGTGTATGTGTGTGTGCCTGCTGTGTTTTGGGCTGTCTGAGCCAGAGACTCAAACCATGGTCAGCATGTGGCTTCCAGCTCTGCCGTCTGGCATGCTATTGTCTGCCCCACAGAGGCTAGGCTGGGATTTATTTTTTTATTTACTTAAATGAGAGAGTGTGGGAGAGAAAGGTTTTTAGTTTTGTGTGTGTATGTGTGTCACGTAATGATAGCATGTGCATGCATGAGAGAGAGAGAGAAGTGAGAAGCATCTTCAACAGGGTCTTGTTATGCTGTAGTCCCCTTTCCCTGGCTTTCCAGGTCCTTGGGATCCTGGGTGCCTATGCTTGTGCTGGTGTGTTCTCAGGCCAACCCAGGATCTGAACCCACAGTTGTCCGTATGGCTTCCAGCCTTGCAGGGCACTACGTTATTGCTGTGCCATGGTACCTGAGCCTCAGGTCGGTATTTTGACAGAGTCTCACTGTGCTGTACTGGAAAAGATCCCAGCCTTCCAGAACCTAGAACCACAGGTGGGCTGAGAACCGACCTGGGTCTCTCATGCATGTGGCCTCAGCCACTGCACACTGGCACTTTCCTGCTTATGCCACTGCGGCTGGGCTGGGGCGGGGTAAGATTTCTACAAGTGGGGGACGTGCATGCAGAGTCTCGCAGCCTCCCTAAGTCAAGAGACCCTCTGAGTAGGTAGCTGTGTCGAGCATCTTGCCTGATTAGCTGCAAGTGCTGTAGACGTGGTGGGTCCGCCAATGCCATTTTTGTAGCTTGAGTGCCACACCAGACACCACTTGGAAGAGAGCTTCAATTTGTGTGGTGTGTCATGGTGGCTTCCTAACAAATGGATGTGTAGCGTCCTGTCTTGCCGTTGTCCGTTTGTCATGATGATTTTTGTGTTTTTAGGCCCCTGCCACAGGGTATGTACATCTGTCAGAGAGAGACTGAGAGAGGGAAAGTGAAAAATCACCCCTCTCTAGGGCGGGGCAGGGGGGTGGGGGAGGAGGGCCACACTGCAATCCCTTCTCCATTCTCCTCTCCAGATTTTGGGCACACATGCTCAGATGCCTGGTGTGAGTTTCAAGCCACTGGGTTCGACTTGAACTCTGGCCAGCTTTGTGGCAGTCCAGTGCCTTAATGACCATGCCACCTGCAGGCCCCTGTCATTTTTAAATAGGTGGAAGGGGAGTGCCTTTTTGAGGGGTCACCTTTTCTGATTTTGCAAGAAGAGCCTAGGGGCTGGGCTCACCTCAGGCATTCCACAGACCCATCCTCAGTCTCGGCGTCCCATGGGGAACTGACAGTTCAATGGTTTGTAAGGTCTTAATAAACTCAGATACGGAGAAAAAGGTCTTTGTGTCTAGGTCAGAGTCTTTGTGTCTAAGAGTGACCAGGAGCTGATTTAGCAAAGGGGGACACTTGGGAGTGAAAAAGCCCCTAGAAAACATCGACATCGCCTTTACAGAATTGAACATTCCCATGAAGCGTCAAAGCGTACTTGAAGGTCAGGGGAGAACGGACAAGCCAAGAGAAGCGGGCAGCCGGGAGTGAACCGTGGGCTGACCTGGCTCGGTACGGGCTCTCGTAGCAGCTGTGAGGTGAATCTTGCACCGTAGGAGTCGTTGTCCTAGGGGAGGTCCTACGTGTGCCGTGCTTGACAGTGGCTCTGCTTGGAGGGAGAACGTGGACTTGCCCAGTTCTCCCTCCCAGTGTTGGGCTCTGGACGGCAAGTCTTGGCTGGTGGGGACAAGCTGGGAGTAAACCCTCTGGAGGGCCGGATGGCAGGGGCATCTGCTGCGAGGGAGGTGTGGTGGGGCTGGAAGGGAGCAGGGGGCTCACCTGGGGTCCTGTCAAACAGGACTGAACAGTGGTACGGGTTGCAGGACAGGAGACCTTTAGAAGTGTGGGGGTGGGGACCAGCAGTTAGTGTAATGGCCATGTCGCTGGACTCCCATGTAGTTGACTGCGTTTCGAGTCCCGGACCCAGTGGCTTAAACTCACGCCAGGCGCGTGTGCGTGGTGCCCAAGATCCCAAGAGGAGAACAGAGGAGAAAGGATTGTGGCATGGCCATCCCCTCTGGGGAATGAATTCTCGCTTTCTGTCTCTGTTTGGCGAGCGCACGTGCCCTATAGCAAAACCTCTTCAAAAAAAAAAAAAGAGAAGTGTGGGGGTGGGGGACATGGAGCCTCCACAGGGACTGGGCTCAGGGTCTGGAAGAGCAGTGGGTGGGTCCGGCTTGAACAAAGTGGCAGCTGGATTGCTCAGTGGTTAGAGGCTCAGGCCTTGGGTTCACATTTGCTGGGTTTTCATCATGGTTCCTCTCTGTCCTCACTCCACGGCCCTGCAAAGTTGCTTTGCCTTATGGGCCTCAGTTTCCTCAGCTGGGAGTCATAACAGCACCTGTGGCATCGTTGTGTCATTCCATGAGAAGTTATTTGCAAAACAGAAGAACCTTGGATAGGCGTATCATACTGTTGAGGTTTCCCCAGTATTAACAGTAACGAAAGGGGGTGTCCTTTTGGACATGATGCTGCCCATGTATGGGGTTCAGACTCGGGGCTGCTGCCTTCTCTGGAGATCCGTGGAGGACCCTCGTGCTTGCCTGCTTTCTGTAGCTGCTAGAAAGCTGTGTCGATGCCTGCTCAGTTTAATCATCAGATTTCTGGTGACATCTTTCTCTGCTTTCTGCCTGGCCTCTGTTCTCTGTGATGCTTACGTTGTTTTTATTTTTTATTTTTTTATTGCATTTAGCCCTAAGCTCATCTTTATTTTTTTTTTAAACGTTATTGCTTTTTTTTTTCTTTTTTTTGAGAGGTTTTTCACTATAGGGCGCGTGCGCTCACCAGACAGACAGAGAGAGACAGAGAGACAGAAAGCGAGAAATCACCCCCCAGAGGGGATGGCCACGCCGCAATCCCTTCTCCTCCATTCTCCTCTTGGGATCTTGGGCATGCACGCACACGCGCCCAGTGTGGGTTTTAAGCCACCGGGTCCGGGACGCGAACCGCGGTCGACTACGTGGGAGTCCAGCGACATAGCCATTACGCCAACTGCTGGTTCCCCCCTAAGCTCATCTTGAAGTAGGCAGTTACAAATTTTGAATGCCTGTTGGCATCTCTGTCTCCTCCTTGTCACTGGAAGAACTTGTGATATCAACTGAGGCAGTTAAGGAGGGTCCGTCCTTGGGACAGGTAAGGGTCCACCAACACCCCGCCCCCCAAGTCCCACAGCAGAGGGAGAACTTGTAGCTGAAATTGACCTCTCAGGCCCAGGGGTAGAATTGGTCAGGAGGAGGGGAGAGAACAGTAAGCCTGACTCTAATTAAGCACCTACTATGTGCCTTGGCAGTGTGCTAGGCACTTCAAAGACTCTGGGCTGCCCTAGGAGGCTGGTCCTAGAGACGGATATCCCAGTTGAGGAGTCGTGGAATTCCGGGGAGTTTACTCTGTAAGACTGGAGGGGCAGGGTGGTTCTGTCTACAGAATCAATGTGGACCCCATTGTGGGTGGGAGGCCTTGTCCATGGCTCCCTCCCAGGCTTCAGACTTGCCAGGGCCCATGTCTAGTCACCTATTGTCACAATAGTGCAGCAAACCACCCCCAAACCCGCTGGCGCTTGGCAGTAGCACGTACTTCTTACTGTCCATGGGTGAGGTGAGGTTTGCTGATCCAGCTGCTCTCAGAGGACTCAGCTTCCAGCTGCAAGTTGGGTTTCGGTCTGTTCCATGTCTCTGATCCCAGTTGGACCTGTGACCATCCAAGGCGTGGGTATCTCACGGCGCCAGGCAGGAGTGCAAGAGAGCGGGCTCAATGGCACACGCATACTTCAAGGCTTTGCTCAGTCATATTCACATATCCCATTGGCCAAAGCAACCCCAAGACAAGGGCAGGGCAGTAGATTCCCACCTGTTGGCTGTGGCGGGGTGTGACTGACTATTTGACACTATTACGGGGAGCGAAGCATCGAGATCCACAACTCATCCGGCTTTAGCAAGAGTTTCATTCATTCACTCGGTAACTCTCTTGAAATCTGTGGTTTGCCAGGCACTCTGCTGCTTCTGGAGACAGAGCAGTGAACAGATGGCCTGGTCCTTGTCCTGTAGAATTTGCAACCGAAGAGCTTCTTCTCTCATTATTTAATTACGAGGGCGAGAATCACTCCAGAGGAGAACTGCGGAGCACTGGAGTTCAGGTACTAAAGGGGCCTGACCTAGCCCAGGGAGGAAGAGATGGCTGAGCTCAGAATTTAAGGGCGAGAGAAGAGTTTAAGTCCTGGTCCTCCCTAAATCACCAGGCTAGAGAGCCAGCCCTCAACCACGAATTCTGTGTCCAGAAAAACTATCATTTAAAAATGAAGGCAAGATTAAGACAGCCTAGATAAATCAAACAGGTTGCTAGCAGCCTACTTTATTTTTAATTAAAAAAAATTATTTAATGAGTGGGGTCAGAAGGTGGCATGGTGGTTAAGGTATTGGACACTCCCATATGGCCAACCACAGTTTGAGTCCCAGACCTGGTGACTTGTTCTCTCACTTTCTTTCTTTTCTCTGTGTGTCTTTCTTCAGTCAAATTAAAATAAATTAATGAATAAATAAAATAAATAATTTTTTAAAAAAGAATTATTTACTGAGGGACCATCAGATGGCATATGGTTACGTTGCTGGACCCCCATGTAGTCAACCATGGTTTGAGTCCCAGACCTGACAGCTTAAAACTCACACCATGCATGTGTGCGTACATGCACAGATCCTGAGAGAAGACTGGAGGAGGAGGGATTGCGGTGTAGCCATCCCTCCTGGGGGGTGATTTCTCACTTTCTGTTTCTCAGTCTCTCTCTCTCTCTGTCTCTCCGGTGAGCACAGGCTCCCCCCAAAAAACTTCTCCAAAAAAAAAAAAAGAAAGAAAGAAAGAAAAAGAAAGAAAGAAAGAAAGAAAGAAAGAAAGAAAGAAAGAAAGAAAGAAAGAATTATTTATTGGACCACCAGATGGCATAATGGTTACATTCCTGGACTTCCACATAGCCAACTATGGTTTGAGTCTCACACCCAATGGCTCAGAACATGCCAGGCACGTGTGCATGCATGCCCCAAATCCCGAGAGAATGGAAGAGAAGGGACTGCAGCATGGCCATTCTCCCTGGAGGGTGATTTCTCTCTTTCTCTCTGGGTATAGCACACTCACTCTAGAGCAAAAATCTCTCTAATGAATAAATAAATACATACATAAATGTAAAAATAAATAACTATTTCTTTCATTTCATTTGTCATTATTATTATTTTTAAATTTGCTGTAGGGCATCTGTGCTCACCAGAAAGAGACAGAGAAACACACAGAGAGAGGGAAAGCAAGCCTCCAGGTCCATGACTCAAACTGCGGTCAGCCATTTGGGAGTCCAGCACCCCAACCCCCACACCACCCAGTGGCCCGATTAGCGGCCTACCTTAGCATGAGGGATCCTTAAAGCTGAAATGAAAAGACACCAGACAGTTTCTCAAATCCATGTGATGAAATAAAGAACACCTTTGGAGAGTGTCGATATATTTTGTTTGTAACTCTTTTCTTCGCCTATCTGATTAAAGAGACAACTGCAAAAAGCAATAATTATAAAACTGTTGACAGGCTTAGGATGTTCAAAGATGTAATTTGTATAACAACAGTAGCAAAGGGGAGATTAGAGTTATATTGGAACTGATTTTTTATGTACTATTTAAATTAAGTCATTATTAATCCAAACTAGATTGTTTTAAATTAAAATGTTCATTATAATCTCTAAGGCAACTGCTAAGGAAAGAACCTAAAAAGATAATAAAAGAGAATTAAAAGCTCTGTTAGGAAATACTCCGTCTTGGGGTCCTGCATACTGAAGACCTTATCCAATCCCAATAACTTCCCAAAGATCCCACCTTTCAACACCATAGTAGGTTTTTAACCTTCCTAATCTCAGCACAATCAAATTTCAGCACATGGATTTGGGGGGCACATATAGAAATTGTGGCGATATGGAAAGTAAGCACACGCCTAAACAACCAGTGGATTAAAGAAGAAAATGTAAGAGACCTTGGGAATATCAGGTTGTCAGGAAGGTCATGATGTGTTTTTGCACAGAGAAATGAGCCAGGACTTTCCTAATGGCCTAGTACTTTGAGGTGAATGAAAACAAAAATACCACCTGTGAAAATGCACTAAAGTTATAGCTGTAAATACTTAGATTAAAAATGAAGAGGCCTGGGGCCGGCAGGTGGCATGGTGGTTGAGGGCACTGGACTCCCACATGGTTGACTGTGGTTTGAGTCTTGCACCTTGTGGCTTGCTGGCTTGCTTTCTCATTTTCCCTCTCTCTCTCTCTCTCTCTCTCTCTCTCCCTCACTCTGTCCTGCTAGTTAAATTGAAAGATGGAAGGAAGGAAGAGGAAGGAGGTGAGGAGGGTAGGGAGGGAGGGAGGAAGGAAGGGAAAATAATAATTTTTTAACAAAAGAAAAAGAAAGAAGAGGCCCAGCCATGCGGTGGGCGCTGCTAAGATGCTGTGCTCTGTGGGCTGGAGCCATATGGGAGGCCTGGGTATGATCCCTGGTCTAACCTAAAGGCTGAGCCAGGTGGCGGCCAGCAACTTGGGAGGCTGAAGCAGGAGGATCACAAGGGGAAAGCCTGAATTATATTTAAAAAAAAAAGAAAGAAAAGAAAGACTTCAAATTGATTATCTTCCACCTTAGGAAAGTAGAAAGAGAATAGCAAACTAAGCCCAAAGCGAGCAGAAGGAAAAAAATAATAAAAGATTACAGTAGAAAAAAATTGAAACTGAATGAAAAGGCCACAGATGATATGGTCTCATTTATAGGTGATGTCCAGAATGTGTAAATCCGTGGGAGAGAAAGTCAATTTTTGGTTTCCAGGGGCTGTGGAGAAGCAGGGGATGGGAATGACTGCTAATGTGTTTCTTTTCGGGGTGATGAGATGTTCTGGAATTATAACAGCTGGTGATGACGGTCGCACGACTATGTGGATACACTGACGTCTCTGGTTGTAAACTTTAAAAGGGTGAATTTAATGGCTTTTGAATAGAATCTCAACGGTGTTAATTTTTTTTTTTAAAGGAGGTAATTAGACAAAAGAGGGGAGAGGGTTTGGAGAAGCATCTCCTAGGCACACGTGCTGGGTGCCTGTGGCACAGAGGGGAAGGAGGGAGGCACCCAGGCTAAGGCAGGTGGGGGGAAGATTTGGGTTTTCTCCTAAGAGCAATAGGAAGCCACTGGGAGGCTTTGAGCCAGGTGGGTCTGTGACAGGACTGCATTGTGAAGAGCTCTGGTGATGGTAGTGAGGAAAATGGATTGGAGAGGGCCACGAGTGGATTTGGAGAAGGTCTACACAGGCCGAGTCCAGAGAAACCTGCATCTCAGGGACGCTGATGTTGAAGGTCACTGCTAGGTAGGTCAAACTGGGCTCCCCCTGGCACCGCCGCTTCTGCCCTCGGCCACTGACTGGAATACTCTCGGGTAGTCTTAATCTGCCCAGGGAGTGGAGCAAGGAGTTGTTGTCGGGGGATAAGAGGGTGGCAGGGAAGTGGACACCGTGATAATCAGGCAAGCCAGGGCTGGGAGGTTACTAGGGCTGGTTGCAGACAGAAGAGATTGAATGAGAAAGGGAATTAACTGCCAGGGCACTGGAGTCTCTCCTAGAAGCCAAGGAAGATTTGTGGGCTGAGGCCCTCCCAGCAGGGCTGAACCAACATGCGTGCAAGAGGGAAGACGTGCAGGAGTCCTCTCCGCCTCGTGTCTGCTTTCGTCTCTACTTTGGTGGCCTTCTTCTTTTTATTTTAAATTTATTCATTTATTTCTTCCATGACTGAGAAACAGAGATAGGTACCCCCAACAGAGTCTTGAAGCTGCAGCCCTCCCCTAACCTCAGCTGGCCCCAGTTCTTGGGCACGCTCATGCCTGTCTTGTTCAGGGAGGTCTCCAGACACAAACCTGGAACCATTCCATGGAGGTCAGCCTCCCCGACATTGCATTTTACTGTGGTGCTTCCATCTGGCCCCCAGTGGCCACCCTCTTCTTTCCCTCACTGCAGACCAAGTCTCTGTTTCTGGGCATCTACACGTGGGGAGAGGGGCTATTCCCTCAGCCCCCAGGTCTGCAGCTTTGCTGTTCCAGAGAGTAGCCGAGTTGAGTCTCAGTCTCGGCTCTGATTTGTTTTTTTTCCTTAGAGAGTTTTTTTTCTTTTTGTTTTTCTTTTGCTGTAGGGCACATGCGCTCACCAGAGAGACAGACAGAAACAGACAGAAAGCGAGAAATCATTCTGCAGGGGATGGCCACACCACATCTCTTCTCCAATCTCCTCTCGGGATTCGGGGCATGCACGTATTGGCGCCTGGCATGAGTTTTAAGCTGCCGGGTCCAGGACTCTAACCGTGGTTGACTACGTGGGAGTCCAACAATGTAACCATTATGCCATCTGCTGGTCCCTGAGCTCCACTTTCTAATAGAAGGGCTTTGATGTGCCAGCCCAGCCGAGGCGCTCCCCTAGGTGAGTCTGCTGGGCCTGCGGGGGCTTGTGGAACTCACCCCTGCAGTTGGCTGGGCAGCTAAGTCAGACCAGTGAGAGGAGGTGACATCACAGGCCAAGTGACCTTATCACCGAAGTCTCCTCTCCTCCCCTCTGCCCCTTGGGGTAAAGTGCACAGGATTGCACCGTATTGCTCCCGTGAGCTGGTGGCTGACTGTCTCTCGGCCGTTTTTAGCTTGCTTTCAGCCCTGACCGAGCAGGGAGCATTCCTGAATTTAGCATTAGTCTTACTCCCTCTGTGAATTCTGTTTGTTCCTCCAGAACACAAAGGCCTGGCCCGTGGCCTCCTGAAAACCTTGTGGAAAAGAACCCCAGTTCTTGTCATTGTCTCGGTTTCACCTGCTGTTTGAAACTCAGTGGTGCTGATTCAGGTGTCCGGAACCCAGCGACTGTGGAATAAATGGGCCTGTGATTGGGGACAAAAGGGGACCAGAAGTGTCTGTGCAGCCTGGCAGGAGGCCTGTGCCAGGGTCAGCTGCCCACACAGCCCTGCCGTTTCCAGCCCTGGCTCACCCTCCGCCCGGCCTGCAGGCGACAAGCACTGTTTCTTCTTTCTGCAGGGGACACCCTGGTCAGGAGACTGCTGGGAACTGCTGGGGGCGGCTGCCTTCTCCAGCCCCCGGAGTGTGATTG